TCCTATCTTGCCTATAGGAGTAGGTCTTTTTAAGTTAGGATGCAGCACCTAAGGAGTGAGGGTCTGGTAGGCCTGTAGTGCTGCTGCCTGTGCCCTAACCCAGCCCACCACCTTGCAAGAGCACTTAACTGACTACAAAAGAACCGCTCCCACAGTGGCAGGCTTAAAAAAAAAAAAGTGCAACTCACTATAACCCGAGCTAAGCTCATCGTTTTGATATGCACAAGAACCCTCAAGTGGCTAGTTGCCCCTGCGCTCAGAGATCTGTGCTCCATCTGCTCGAGTATACGAGTTGAGAAATCTAATTAAGTAGACGAGCGAGATCTCCAATCGCTCTGCAGTGTAACTGGGTTACATATAGTGCTGCAGGGGCTAGTGTTAGATATGGATGCTATAGTGAGCAGCCATTGTAACCTTAGCAATAAGTCCTTGGCACCCTGTCCTTTGACGTGGCTGCTTCTGCAAAGCCTAGAGTTAATCCCACTTGCAAAAGAAACCAGCACTGCATAATTACTTTTATACAGCACAGATCCTATGCTAATATTGCACAGTAAAGGGGCATGTTCCTTCTTGCAGGGGGTGTTTTTTTTTTTTTTGCCAACCATCTTGTCTGTCTCCGCACAGGGGAATGAGAACTTCCTGATTGTTTTACAGTTGTGCTGGGTTTTGTTTTTCTTTTTAAGCTGAAAGTTGTGGAGTTAGTCCTAAGGTTGACAACAGCATTGCATCTAGTTGGGGAGCTGATGAGGAGCTGATGTATGTACAAGTCATACACTTGTGCCAATGGTTACCGTCTTTTTGGAGAAAAAAATCTTTATTGTACGTCTTCCCAGGAGTGGCATGCACCTGCACCCATCTGTAAAGGTAACTCACCATCCCTCCCTCCCTCCCGCTTTGTTGTTTTGAGAGTCACATCCAGGTATGTTTAGCCTTTTGAAGGGCTAGGCCTGATCCCGTGACACTTATTACCCAAGCAGAATCATTAGGCAAGAGTTTAAAAGGTGACCGGTGTTTTTAGAGGTCCAACTGGAGATGTCTTGGAGGAGTCTAATTTTCCAAAAATATTGCGCACCTTCCCTCTTAATAAAAGCCAAGCCAAACCAAACCAGGCCCCTTTTAAAGTTTCACAAGTTGGGCGTTCAGAGTCACTTTGGGAAACCTTGGCTGTAGGCCATTATTCAGTTGTATAGCCCTTGCACGGTCCTCTTTCTTCAGTGTCTCTGGAGAGGAGGTGACCAAAGCTGCACATGAGGCACGGTCCAGACACCCAATCCACCACAGCACCTGAGTTGTACCTGTAATGCTGTATACACTTGGGCCTCCTTTGTATCTCTGTCTGTAGGTTGGATGGGAGGAAGAATAGTTTTGTGGAAGATAAAGGGTAGATTTTAAGTCACAGGATTTGAAATCTTCTATTCCCAGTTCCGCTATAGACTCACTGGATGCCCTTGGGCAGGTGACTTCATTTCTCTGCCCTTCAGTTCCCTCATTCTGCAAAAGGGTCAGATTAATATTTGCCACAGGGGTGTTGCACGACTTAATTCATGTTTGTAAAACATTGTTTAATTTCTGTCAACACTGTGCATGGTCCTTCCAGCTGTGAGTTCCAGAACTTTGGAACTCATGTGCAGCTTTGGTCACCAGACAAAAAAGATGAAGAAAGTGAAGCATTAGTAACGGAGAAAATAACACAGACTATTTCTACAGCTGTGGTAAGAGGCAACAATGTCTGTGCTGCTGGAGTTATCAACTGCTTAGTAAGCACATAAGAGAGCGGAGGAGATAAACAGCAAATTCTACTGCTGCCGCACCTCCCTCGCCCCAAGTGGGGAAAAAACAACAACAAAAGAAAAGTTTTTAACTTTGGGTTGAAAATTCCACATTATTGGCCTGACCTAAGGCCCTGAATCAACTATATGATGCAGTGCAAATAGGGTTGTTTGCATTCAAGTATCTATATCAAGATAGCTACACCAATGGAAACTTCCTGTGGAGATGTGCTGCACTGGTATGAGATGAAACTTGCACGAGTATGACCCTCCCTGGTAAATTGCTCTTGTACAAGCCCTATTTTTCACTGGTGCATTGTGTGAATATTAGGACTTTTGCATAATTGCATTGATGATGTACATTGCTGTGTTTGTGTACTGTAAGGGTCAGTGGTTCACAGTAGTTCAATTCCCCACATAGGCTGCAACTTGTAATGTGATGGCCCATACGGGAATTTGAACTGCTGCAAACCTCTGATGCTCTGGAGACGCTTCCCAGGCCAAGGAGAGTATGTACTACACCAATACAATGTGGTTCTTTGTCCACGCCCCACCCCCATTGGTAGATGTCATGTAGAAGCTCATGGATTTGGTGTACTCTGGAATAATAGATCTGGTCCTTCATCTTTGGCAATAGAGGCTCATGCTCTTAGAGTCAGAGGTCATGGGTTAAAACCCTGCGATGGGGCTTTTTGGCACTTTGATCACATTTAAAACCACAATCAAGTATGAGTTCTCTCTAGCTTAGTGATGTGCCTTCTATTGTGTGTCTCTTAGAAAAGTCAAAGCCTGTATGCTGCTGTCTGCGAGGATGTGCGTAAGATGGCAGAGTCCCTGTCATGTGGGATGAACTGGATTGAAACCAAATGTATGATGGAAATGGAGAAACTCCGCTTGGAAAAGCTAAAATTCCAGCTGGAGAGAGGGCAAGGCAACCAACCGATGTATGCAAAAGAGACCTAAATAAATGACTTGCCCCACTTGTTGGTTTGGTTTGCCTCCTTTTTAAGTTTTCATGTGAATTTGGTGCCAGTGAAAGGCGCTAGATAAGACAGGACCAGTGTGGGCAGCTGCAGAGCAAACTTCTTCAACACTGCCCCAAGGTGTTTCAACCCTTCTTTGCAAGGACCACGTCTAGGGGCAGGAGGGTTGTTCTATCTCCATGGCCTGTTCTGTCCTTAACATCTTGGCTGAGACTGACAAACTGAGGGAAAAGGGGAGTCAGTTAGTACCAGTTCGAATTTTGTTTGTGTAGTGGTGATCCCAGTCCACTGTGAACTAGAAAGACACCCACAACTCAATTCAGCTAGGCTACCCCAACAGCCATCCTCTGGTAATAACTCTTCATCAGTGACATGGTTCCAGTATGGAACCAGGTGACCTAGCAGTCAGTCCAAGCCCGGCAGTGTAAATGCTGACGGTAGTTGGGTGTTCTAACCCTTTTCCTGAGTAGCAGTGAAAGGAACAAGCAGACACCAGCATAAAATGATAGGTCCCTTCCAATCCTACACTTCTCAATAGGTCATCTAGTCCAGTCCTCTGCACTCAAGACAGGACTAAGTAATAACTAGACCATTGCACATGCATATTTTAACAGGTTCTCCGGACCAGCAGAAGCAAAGAGCACAACCAAGAAGGTGAATCCTCAGCCCCTGTGGTGTAACATTGCACAGTGGATGAGTTAATGTCTTCTGGTTAACCTAGCATTGGCTGAATAAACTGCTTCCTTGCTGGAGACAAGATCCAGGGCTATTGGTTATTCAGTTTTGACAATTCTTATGTTGTCTTAAGATGCCAGGATTGAAGGGGTAAGAAATGAGCTGCCCATTTAAAAACTCAACCATGCCCAAAATGAAACCAGTCTGAGGAGGAAGAAACAGGCACAGAAGCGCCATATGCTGGAGACATTACTCAGTCAAAACACCCATGAACGTCAGTGAGCATTTACCTTACAGATCTACTAAGAACCAAGTCAGGACTCCGGGATTTGATCCAGAATCAGAGAATCGTAGAAATGTGAGGGCTAGAAGGCACATTTAAGAGGCCACTTAGTCCATCTCCCTGTGCTGAGGCAGGATTAAGTATACCTGAATCATCCCTGACAGGGGTGTGCCTAATAAATTCTTAAAAACCTCCCATGACAGGGATTCCCCAACCTCACTTAGTAATCTGTTCCAATAATTGCTTTTCCTAATATCTAACCTAATTTTTCTGTTGCTGTAAACTAAGTCGATTTCTTCTTGTCCTATCCTCAGTGGACAATTGATCGTCCTCTTTACAGCAATCTTTTACATATTTGAAGACTGATCTCATGCCCCCGCCCCCCCCACACACACCCCGGGCATGTCCTTCTCTACTCTAAGCATGTCCCATTCTTTCATCTTCCCCTCATAGTTCATGTTTTCTAAACCTCTCATTTTTGTTGCTCTCCTCTGGAGTCTTTCCAATTTGTTCACTTCTTTCTTAGAGCGTGGTCCCCAAAACAGGACCCAGTAATCCAGGTGAGATTCCAGCAGCCCTGAGTAGAGTGGAACAATTCCCTCCTCTGTCTTACATAGCAAACTCCTGTTAATACACACCAAAAGGTTGTTTGCCTTTTTTTGCAACAGCATCACACAGTTGATTCAGGAGACAAAGTACAGCATTTGGCATTATAGGCAGCGTGGCTGGTATTTTCAGAAGGGCTAAGGGGAGGGAGGTGCTCAACTGAAATTCAGTGAGATTTGGGGGCCCATTTCCCTTGAGCGCCTTTGAAAATTCCAGCCTGTATCGTTTTTGAATGAGTTCAGACACACTTGGAGAAACTATTGGAAAAACCTCCATCATAAAATACCATCAGGTCAGGAGTCGTCTACTCATGATATACACAAACTGTTGTGGGTTTTCCACTTTCGTAAATTTCCCTTTCATAAATGCAAAACAGATAGCCCTTTATAGTACAGTAGTTATATACCAGCTGGTGAGTCCACCAGTCTTTGTTTGCTCTTGGAACAATGAACTATTCAACCAAATTCCAGAGAACTCTGTAGTCATGTCATTTTCAGTAAAGAGTTGGCAGAATAGCGCAGTAAGTAAACAATTTCGACATCTGCTTGCGGTGAAATGAATTATCTAACATTTGATTGCAGGTTGAATAATTTACTTCCTTGTCATTTTAGAGGAGGAGTTAATCATTTATAGATAAGCTGGTGCACCAACCTTCCCCCCCATTGCCCCAGATTGAAACCTCATCTCAATTTCACCATATCTCCGCACTTCTGTATGTGTAAGCATATTGTGCTAGCTTCTTGTTTAGCATGGTGATCCCTGGGTGCAGGACCTGCTAGACTGGAAAAGTCAGAGATCCCATTTCATCCTTCAGTAACCAAATAGACCTGAGCGCACTCTGCCTCCTGCTGACAAACCTACCGGTAAGTTGACTGTGATTGCAGCCAGCTACTTAAGGCAACATTGCTCTGAGGGAAGCCCAGGGAAAATGGGCTGGGGGGAAGCAGGAAATCCAGAACCATTTATTAAACCTCAATATAATCGATTCTAGCAAATATGCACCGATATTAGTAAACAAAGCCAGACTTCGCAGAAGAGGGGGAGCTAGCAAAGCAGAATAACAGCAAGAAGTATTAGGTTTAAGGGAACCGGGGAGAGGGAGACGAAGAAAGTGACTAGGTGAATTTACAAAAGAAGTACTAGTTGGAAGCTAATAACTTCAACAGGAGTCTCTTGCAGTTGTCTACATGGGGCACATCTTGTAGTCATGAGGTAAGATTGTTTTCAAAGGCTCCCGAGGGGCTAAAGCTCGTTTTCAAAAGTGACTTTAGGCACTTAGGGTCTGATCCTGAATCATTAAAATCAATAGGAGTTTTGCCATTGACTTCCAGGGGAGCAGGTTCAAGCCCATAAATGCCGAAGGCACTTTTGCAAATGGGACTCAGGCACGCGCTACTGACTTGTACAAAACTCCAATTGACACTACGTATTTTTCACACACCTGTACATACCTCTGGGTAGAATATATTGCACAGCAGTTGTGCTGACTCCAGAGGGAGCTTTACCTGTCCATGTCTAATAGGGTTTGTTCCATGAGATTTATGAATAGAGCAATTTTTTTTCTGTCAGAGTATTCTAATGGACTTTGAGGACTATATAAATTCTCTGGAAAGTGCAGATCAATTTATGTCCCTCTGGCATTAATTTGGCTGCCTGGCTGGAAAGTGCCAATGTCCTGGCAATAACAAAGCCTGACAAACTGATAAGCAGTCGGCATGTATTTTGGGGACAGGTTTGTGCTTTGGGAGGTGAATTTGTTACCTTTTATCATGCGGAAAGCTCAGTTGTTAACCGAGGAGTCATATCGCTTTATGCAAAGAACAAAAAGGGTCTGAAGAGATACAATAAATCTTCCAAACAGACACAGGAAGTCACATTCTTATAAAACAATTTGCAATCATTCTTAAGTCTGAATCCTTCTTTCAGGTATGTTTTACCTTATTTTGTTACTGCAAATATCAGCTACGTGTTGTACAGTGGTTATACGTAACTAGCTAATTTAATTGTTTAATAGGGGAGTAGAAATTAACATAAGCCTTTCCATTAATCACCAGTAAGAGACCCATGAGACTTAGGTAGCATTCATGCTCTCCCTCATCTAGTTGGAGTGCTTCATTAGCCCCATCCAGGGGTGAGAGACTGTGGTGTCGCCGTTTCAGAGTTAACTGCCTCTTAAGGTTTCAGGCTCCCTGCCATCACCTCTCTCCGGTGGAGACCTGCATCTCTTTCCCTCCAGGCAAGGAGTTTAGGCTTGCTATCCCTCTGCACCTTGCTGAGATTGCCTGTAATTAACCTTTTCCCAGGGGCTACTACAGTCTATACCAACTACCAACCAGCCTCCACAAAGCCAAATGCATTTATTCTTAGGGTAAAAGCACTACAGAGTAAACATACAAAAATAAATAAAAGTTCATATACGTACGGTAAAAGGATCCAGAGGTCCATCAGTCTTATGGGACCCTAGTAAGCTAAAGTCCTTCCAACGCTTTCGTAAGGGTTGAGGTCTCCCCTTGGACAGAGGTTCCTGTCCATTTGGTGAATCAAAAGGAGGCCACAGGAGTCAGTTTAAACTCAGCCTTTTTATATCGGAATCACTTTCTTTGTCTGTGGAAAATCCAGTTTGACCTAGTATATATGAAGCTCCCCAGGGAGGTGTTCTCATCCTGAGTGATTCACCTTCATCACCCTCCCCCCACACACATTATTTTTGGTTTCTGAAGGAGCTGTAGTAACCTTCCCCCACACCAAAGTGGCAAACAATCCCTGGCCCAGAGTGATACATAACCCATTCATAAAATGAACACTATCTGGTCCCCAAAGGTAATTCATGCAGTTGCAATATCTGTCACAATACAATTGACCAAAACAAATGCCTTTGACAGTTTGTTCTTTATCTATTCATGACTGTTTCTCTCAATGGGTACAGATGGGGAAACTGAGGCACAGAGCAGTGATGTTACTTGCCTGTGGCTGTGACAGCCAGTTAATGGCACAGTCAAGGATAGAACCCAAATCTCTTGAGTCCTAGGCCACTGCTGTCTCCTTTAAGCCACTCTGCTCTCCATTATCAGACATAGTAGGACTTGAGGATTGGAGGTTGGCTTGAGCCATGTTAATCACATAACTTATGAGGTTAACGCAGGGTGTGTTGTTGAACCCTGAAGTGTGCCAAGATTCAGGCATTTCTGTTTACCGTGCTATAAATGTGCCCTGGGAAAGTGAGATGTGAGGCAGGTTTCAGTAGATCGAAAAATTAAATAACTTCCTATTCATTTGGGATTTTATTTTTCATTTAAAGAAAAAACATGACTTCAAATGAAGGCAAAGAAATGTGTCTGATTAAAGCCTGTAGGAATTATGTGAAACTTGCAGTCATAAGAATGGCCGTACTGGGTCAGACGAAAGGTCCATCCAGCCCAGTATCCTGTCTACCGACAGTGGCCAATGCCAGGTGCCCCAGAGGGAGTGAACCTAACAGGTAATGATCAAGTGATCTCTCTCCTGCCAGCCATCTCCACCCTCTGACAAACAGAGGCCAGGGGCACCGTTCCTTACCCATCCTGGCTAATAGCCATTAATGGACTCAACCTCCATGAATGTATCTAGTTCTCTTTTAAACCCTGTTATAGTCCTAGCCTTCACAACCTCCTCAGGCAAGGAGTGTCACAGATTGACTGTGTGCTGTGTGAAGAACTTCCTTTTATTTGTTTTAAACCTGCTGACCATTAATTTCATTTGGTGGCCCCTAGTTCTTATATTATGGGAACAAGTAAATAACTTTTCCTTATTCACTTTCTCCACACCACTCATGATTTTATATACCTCTATCATATCCCCCCCAGTCTCCTCTTTTCCAAGCTGAAAAGTCCTAGCCTCTTTAATCTCTCCTCATATGGGACCTGTTCCAAACCCCTAATCATTTTAGTTTCCCTTCTCTGAACCTTTTCTAATGCCAATATACCTTTTTTGAGATGAGGCGACCACATCTGTACGCAGTATTCAAGATGTGGGCGTACCATGGATTTATATAAGGGCAATAATATATTCTGCATCTTATTCTGTATCCCTTTTTTTAATGATTCCTAACATCCTGTTTGCTTTTTTGACTGCTGCTGCACACTGCATGGATGTCTTCAGAGAACTATCCACGATGACGCCAAGATCTTTTTCCTGATTAGTTGTAGCTAAATTAGCCCCCATCGTATTGTATGTATAGTTGGGGTTATTTTTTCCAATGTGCATTACATTACATTTATCCACATTAAATTTCATTTGCCATTTTGTTGCCTGATCACTTAGTTTTGTGAGATCTTTTTGAAGTTCTTCACAGTCTGCTTCGGTCTTAACTATCTTGAGCAGTTTAGTATCATCTGCAAACTTTGCCACATCACTGTTTACCCCTTTCTCCAGATCATTTAAAACCCTTGTTTTCTTATTGCAGGGATGTTTGACTTCACCTCTCAACTTTCCCCACCTTGCTTCTGTTTTTAATAGCCTAGGCTACACTCTCAGCAGGTGTAAATCAAGGTGACTCCACCGGCTTCGATAGAATGACCCCAGCCTACATCTGCTGAGGATGTGGCTAACTGATCTCTATTGTAAAATGCTTTGAGATCTACTGATGAACAGCACTATACAGGAGCTAGGTATTGTATTATGTTTATTATTACTTGTATGATCGAGCTCCTAGGAGCCACAGTCATGGACCAGGACCCTAGGAGCTAGCTGCTGTACAAACACAGGACAAAGAGATGGTCCCTGCCCCAAGGAGCTTACAGTTTATGTTTATCCTAAATGTAAATGAAACACTTTACTCCCCCCATCCCCATATTGTTACAGATCTTTGGCCTGGAAAGAGATGTGCTAATTTCCTTGTTAGGTCTGCAAGAAGAGAACGTGACATAAAGAAAGATGATATCTCTAAACCCTGGAAAACAGCGTTCTTACATAGCAGCCATTCCACTGTTACTTGCTGCTGCCTTCATTGTTGCTGTAAACAGTGAGTAAACATGAGTATCCGGCAAATCCATCTGGGTAAAATAAGAACCAGCCTGAACATCCAGTGAGATCTCAGTGTGAGGAACTTCTTTTTGGAGGTTCATATAACTTTGTTGTTTCCCTCTGATCGTTTTTCTTGCTGCCTCTGCACTTCTGGGCCTTGGACAGTCTAAAATCCCACTAGAAGTTTATCAAAAGTCTCACAAGAGACGAGAATCTTCCCAATGCCCTTAGGGCTTGATGTTTTTTCCACACCTTTTGCATTCATTTACATCAGTGCAAAGTGGGTGTAAAGTGCTTCCAAATGAGGATTATAGTGCAATACATCCACTTTGCACTGGTGTAACTGAGTGCACAAGGTGTGAGGCAACAGTTAACTGGAGACCCTCCTCAAGTTCTTGAGATGTAAGAGGCTTGGATAAATGTGCATATTTTGGGATGATGAACAATCCTTGCTGGTGGCTTGATGTTCAGGATTTCTCAGGGTTGCATCCAAGATCGCAGGACACTTGAGGCCTCCCTCATCATGGGTGCTTATAACTGGGGGGATGACTGGTGGCAAGAGTAGGGCACAAAGTTCTCCTTGCGTTTTAAGGATCTAAGCAGGACAACAATGGTTTCCTTTTGAGTTGATTCTAGCACTTCCCCCCCCCTCCCCCGACACACACCTTTTGGCCATTCCTTTCCTCTTTGTCCATCAGTTGGTGCCAATAGCGTAACAAGCACCAGGTCTGCGTCACCTCCAATAACTTACCCTTTCCCAGCTGGATTCAAAGTGTAGAATAAACTGGGTACAAGGGTACTAGTTTTGGTTCTACCTTAGCAGCTCTAGTCCAGATGCTTATCCACCTTCTAGGACCCAGCCTGCAGTGTTTTGTGTCACAGCTGGAGCCGCAGCAACCATCACAGTGATGATGGGGAAGGACATATTATGTTCTGTCCAGACAAACTGCAGAGAAAATAATTCTTGCATCCTTATCCTCCCCTTACAGATAGGAAGATTGTTTTCCTGACTTTAAGGAGAACTTAGCTTAGTTTGATGCCAAAAATGTTTTTTAAGCCAAATCTTTGAGAGAACCAGGTGGAGTAGCAGGGGTCAGTTAGGAGGGAGAACTCAGGTATTTATTTTTTTTACGACCCTTCTAGTATTCCAAGAAAGGTCACTTTAGTAAATGAGGTCTGGACTATAGCACATTTTCCTAGTTACATATTTTTGACACCTCTGTTTTGTCACTAGGTGATTGTGGTGTGCCACCGCGTTTTAATTTTGCTGAGCTGAAGGAGGAGTTCAGAAATCAGAATAAGTTTGCTGCTGGTAACAAAGTGGAATACAACTGTCGCCCAGGTTATAGCAAGGTACAAAGATCCACTCTTCAGTGCATGCAATATTCTCGATGGTCAGATGCCGGAGAGTTTTGCAAGGGTGAGTATTTTGTTTTTTACTTTTCTTTTTTTAAACTAATTTATTTTCATCAGCCCTTTTTGATTATAGAGCATAATGAGGGACTGTATGCCTGGAGGGAGGGGTTAAGTTCACTGATGTGATATGTAGGCTTTCACCACTAAATTACCAGTTCGTATCTGAAACCTGCTGCTCCTTGATCTTCATGGGCAACTCCAAAGATGTCTACAAAGGTTTCCTTCTGCTCTGAAGCTTTAAAACACAATGCTAAAAATGGATTTTGAACCTCAAATAGAAGACTACTCCAGGCTAGAAGATGTTCTAACTGTCACAGGTGAAATATTCACATGCACACATGGTAATGGAACAGAGTTTGATTTAAATAAGCACATATACAAATTCCAAGTTAAGACCGGCTCTGTATTCTGAGCTGGCAAAAAGTGAGTAGAGTTTTGATAGAGACAGAATCTTTAGTTCTTTTATGGTTACATTTTACTGAGTCAAGACACGCAAATAAAGACTAATTCCAGTCTTATTTCTATATAGCAAGATCATGCCGTCACCCTGGAGAGCCAGAAAATGGCAGACTTGTTATTCTAACAGATCTCACGTTTGGTGCAACAGTAAACTTCGTCTGTGAAGAGGGGTGAGTAATGGGCAGTTTGTGCGGATAGATTTATAGGTTATTAATTTCCAAAGGGACCATATGATTATCTAGTCTGACCTCCTGTATAACACAGCCCAGAACATTTCACCTACTGATGATCAAACCCATATTTGTATTTGAGCTAGAACATATTTTTAGAAAGAATTCCAATCTTGATTTGGAGATTTCACCACATTCCTAGGTATGTTGCTCGAATAGTTAATTACCTCCACTGTTAAAATTCAGGCTACATACAAGGCACAAACTGTTATCTCATTTCAGCTTCCAGCCTTTGGATCTTTTTATACCTTTTTCTGCTAAATTAAAGAGGCCTCTATTATCAAATCTTCTAGTTGTGTAGGTACTTACAGACTGTCCATGATCAAGTCACCTCTTAACCTTCTCTTTGAAAAGCTAAATAGATTGAGCTTCCTCCACCCTAATGAGGCATATTTTCCCGGCCTCAAATCATTCTTGTAGCCTTTTTCTGCGCTCTTCCCAATTTAATATCTTCTTTTGAAGTGTGAACACCAGAATTGGATTCAGTATTGTTGTGGTAGCCTCATGGCTGCTGTATATAAAGGTAATACCATCTCCCGACTCATACTGAATTGTCCCCTGCTTGCGTATCCATGTATCGCATTAGCCCTCTTAGCCACAGCATCTCACTAGGAGCTCATGTTCACTTGTTTATCCACCATGACCCCTAAGTCCTTTTCAGAACCACTGCTTTCCAGGATACAGTCTCCCCATTCTGTGTGACCGGCATTCTTTTTTCCTAGACCTAGACCTTTGTATTTAGCTGTATTAAAATGCATGGTGTTCAGATGAGCCCAGTTGACCAAGCAATCCAGATAACTCTATAAAACTAACCTGGCCTTATCGTAATTTACCATTGCACCAATCTGTCATCTGCAGACTTCAATAGCAATGGTTTTATACTTTCTTCCAGATAATTGATACAAATATTGAATAGCACTGGGCCAAGAACAGATTCCTGGGGGACCCCAGTAGAAATGACCAGTTTAAGGATATTCCCACTCCCATACTCTCTCTTTTTTTGAGCGATATCAGTTAAACCAGTTTTAATCTATTTGATTTTTTTTGTATAGTGCTAGTTTTTTAGTCAGAACGGCATGCAGTATTAAATCTAGTGCCTTACAGAAGTCTAAGTATATTATTATATCAATGAGTTATCTTCATCAACCAAACTTCTAATCTAATGAAAAAAACAATATCAAGTTTGTTCCATAAAATTTATTTTCCATGAAACCATGAAAGCTGCCATCTTTTACTGATTGCACCCCATATCAGCCATTCCATGACTGCCTGGGATCAATGTCAGGCTAACCAGCGAGGGACTCTGGGATGGGGCATACAAACCCCAGGGAAAGGCTAATGAGCTGATGTAGGCTCAGTCAGCCCCACCCTGCTACACCTGCTGTAGGTGTCAGGTTTGGAGGGAGGAGTTAAAAGTAGAGACACAGCTCAGCTGGGGGCAGACTGGGAAGGAGAGCAGACCTCCAGCTCTCACTCTGAGAGAGGCCTGGATAAGGCCAGGAATGGCTTGATAGACAGCTGCCTGCCAGGGCTTCCCTGAAGAAATGTGGGCATGACACAGGACTCTGTTTGATTTGTGACCTACCTGCTGGTGCTGAGTAAGTCTGCTGCAGATGGTGGCCTGCCAGAAGGGGGCGACAGATAAATAAAATACCTTGTGTTTCCTTACACCTGACTAAGGACCTGACAATAGTTTGTCCTGGGCCCAGAAGCAACCCAGTCACAGATTCCCATGATCCTACCTCCTCTTGCGAAGGCCATGATGAATCATGGGAGATGTATCCTGACCTGGGAGACCAACCTATATAGGAGAATGAGTCATCCAAGCTACAGCTCCAAAGCGGCACCGTGGCAGCATTTTGGGATTAAAATATTTCAGTTTGGGGGCATTCTGTTTTTCCATGAAACATGGAAAATTTCTGCAGAAAACAGATGCTTTTTAAAAAAAAAACCATTTAATTGAAAATCCAATTTACCGTTGAAAAATAGTTTTGATGAACAGTTGTTGACCAACCCTACTAATGATGATGTAAGAGAATCCAAGCCTTATTAATGATGGACTAGGCAAGACATCCAATCTCAGTTTGTATCATATAAATTCCATTCCCCCCTGTTTTATTCAGGTACAGACTAATTGGAAATGCAGAAAGAAAATGTGTGCTTGAAGGATCACAAGTTATATGGGACAAAGATATTCCATACTGTCAAGGTGAGTAGAGACTCTTAATAGCTTTATGGGGAAAGTGTAATCAGGGTTAGACAATGAAAAGCGTACTTTCTCCTGCTGGATGGATTCTGAAATACAACTCATTTATCATTTCACTGCATACTAAATTATTGAACGCTTAAGTTTTGTTTTCCTCTTGCACCATGTTGTAGAAAACCTTGTTAGCTTCTGAATCTGTCTGTTTGTGGGGTAGAAGCACAAAAGGCTCAGATTATTGGTTAACAGAGCTTGGATCAGATCCCCAGCTGGTATAAATTGAATCAGACCCTTGCTCTTCAGATATAGTATTAACATGCTTATAGCACAATCTCTAAGCACTTTACAGATATTTTTATATTTAGGGATAACTTTGCCTGTCACTCATA